GATAGATAGATAGATAGATAGATAGATAGATAGATAGATAGATAGATAGATAGATAGATAGATAGATAGATAGATAGATAGATAGATAGATAGATAGATGTTAATGTTAAAATATCTTCTTAATAAACAAGTGTAACAAATTAAAACAGAGAAAAAAATCTGGAAAATTCCAGAACACAACGGATAACGGATATGTTTATTTATAATTAAATAATTTTGTTCACATCTACAAGTTTGCTTCTCTATAAAGATAAAATAAACATCTTAAACAAAATCGTTATACATGTAAGCATATATGTATAAGTATGCATGTTTGAACATGAAACAAAGCAAGGATAAATTTTTCAAGTTTGATAATTTTTTATATGATTATTATAAAAAAGGATAGTTTGTTAAAAAAAAGAAAAAAAAGAAAAATGCAACTATAAGTCATCAACGAAGGGTTAGAACAAAAAGAGTGCACCTTTACTAAACTTTCGTTTAAAAATGTGTCAGGGGAGTTTAGTTCATATGTGTTAATTGGCTCAAATCTGATTCAGTGACACTTTCTGAGTCAGTAGCACAGTTTTTAACTGTTTTCCTCTGAGCTACCTGCTCGGATATTCTGATCCAGTGAGCTGATGTTTAACATTACTATTTGTAATTAGCACAGCTATACTGGGGTCCTTTAACTCAACCTTCCTTAAACACATTAATAATATCCAAATAGATTATCAAGTTCAATAGGCCGGTGGCAACAGAGAAATGGACCAATGATACACGACGTCACAAGTGTCAAATATAACAAGGAAAACTAAATTTTCTCACATTAGTTGACATATTTTCCAAGATCAAATAAAAAAGTGCAAAAACAGAAAATAAAGAACACATAAAATTGCATTTATTTTACTGTAAGAAAAGCACTTTATTCTAAAATTATCACTATTATTGATGATTTTGTCGGACACACAAACTGAGTTGACACTGGCGTAAGAATACAGCTGTACTGTACTACTGAGAGTGTACAAATTCTACGTTGCCATCTATTGTATCTATTGGACAATCTAATTGATAATATTGTTACTGTAATTTTTAACATGAAAATACAATGTCCATGCAATGTTCAATAAAATATTGCTCAAAGTTTTTATATCAAATTTTATGTTGTGTGACAATTTCCCATTTGTGCAATTTTCTAAGCGGCAATTTCCCAAAGTTTAGGTTAGGCCTTCTGAGCTGCAGAAGGCAACAATTAGCAAGCGCTCTGGCCGGAACAGGCGAGTCGAGGAGGCCGAAAACTGGGGCTCGTACAGACTTGAGAAGCTACCGAGTTGGGAAAATACACTTGGGAATTACCGCTTTGGGAAAAAACTTTGGGAAGGTACCTGACATCTAGTTTATTTTATCTTTGGCAGTATACTTAAAGCACAATCTTTCACATTCTACCAATTTCTAGCACTCAGTGTTAAAAATGGGCCCTAAACCCGATTTGGAATTATTGTTTCCTGCAATAGAAGATGAATATACCTGGTTTCCATTGTTTTGCAATCAATCAATACAGCACTTCCCTCCTCTCCCATTACACTAATGAACTGGTCCATTATACCACATGGCATACCTGCAAAATAACACTATTGAACCAGTCTATTATACCATGTATGTCTAAAAAATAACGCTTTTGAACCGGTCTATTATCCCGCATTTCAACACATTGCATACATCCAAAACAACAATAATGAACAAGTTATTGTTACTCAAATATATGTATTTTCAGGGTTTCAGGGTGATTCAAGCATTCTACTACTCATTTAATGGAGGTCACTTTATATTTTTCTTTTACTGAATAAATATTTCCTATACTAACCAGCATACTGATGTTCTGCTGCTTGACAAGCCAAAGCTTTCTCTTCATCTGAGCCAGCTGTGGAGCCGGTCAACTCCTCTAAGAAGGTGTACATGGCAACCTTAATATATGCATGATAAACATCAATCCGCCCTATACTTCAGGACATAAGTTCCATAAACAGGTTTATGGGCCATTTTAAAACTAATATCCCCTGCATTTTGTGCATAAAAATAAACCGACTGGTTTTAACCTTGCAACGAACTGCAGTTTTTTTACATATTTTAGTGTCTCAAAAAGTTTTAACAATCAAACCTCATTAAGTTTGTGTAATACACACAATTATCAGAATTTAGATAAGGAACATCAATGTGTTTTTGTTTTGCGCTTCTTGCAAAGCATTTTCAAGATCAAACTTTTCTTTTTTTATCTATGTTAAGGGTTCATGGAAGGATACCTTTTTTAATGTTTGGGTGGCCCCACAAATAAAAGAGGGGAAGCATAGTACCCCATCAGGCAATTCTGGGATGGGGTTTTAATTAAATTAAATTAATCATAATTATATAAATTTATTTATTTTCCAAATTTCAGGCATCTAAAGTTTTTTTTTAGCTAAAAGACCAATGGAGCCCAGAAAGGAAATAATTGATGATTGTTTTAAGTTTCGATGATTTTCTTAAAAATTACTTAAATTAAAAGTCTGTTAACCACTTCAGTTTACCGACCACATTACCAACTGACATCTCTAACCCTCTTTAAAAAATAAAATCAATTTTGCGCAACCAGCTTTGAGATATCTAAAGATCTATTGCTGCATATACAGGGTGTCCCACGAAACATGAAATTTGATGAATAGTTTAAAATGTCTTCTTCCATAATTAGTTAAGTTGTTTGATATTAAAGAGAATGATAAAGTATATTGTATGCCAATTATATTATTGTATAATTTTATTTCAAAGTAAAATATATTTGAGAAAAAGTCTTTAATGTCTAATATAATTATGGAAGAAGACATTCAAAACAATTAAACAACTGTCATGTTTCGTGGATCACCCTGTAGTTTTACATTTTAACATTTTATATGTTAACAACTGTTATATTTATTACTGCAGAAAAAAAATATTTTATTTGTTGGGATACAATTATGGATCATACGTAGCCCCCTTTCCTTGTACGTAAACATTCCCTTTAAAGTACCTGGAAATTTCAGTGACAACATGTCTTATTCGCCTGAAGGTGACGTCATCAAACTCAGATCTAAAAATCAATCCTTATAAAAAATATTTAAAGAAACAAATATATATATTTTTATCAATCTGCTCATTCCTGAAATACAAACTGCAAATATTTAGATTAAGCTGGGTTACGCAGGCTGCGGCTCGGATAGGCTAAGCAGGCTGCGGCTCGGATAGGTTAAGCAGGCTGCGGCTGGGATAGGTTAAGCTGGGTTAAGTAGGCTGCGGCTCGGATAGGTTAAGCTGGGTTAAGAAGGCTGCGACTCGAATAGATTATGCTGGGTTCAGCAGGCTGCAGCTCGGATAGATTAAGCTGGGTTAAGCAGGCTGCGGTTCGGATAGATTAAGCTGGGTTAAGCAGGCTGCGGCTCGGATAGATTATGCTGGGTTAAGTAGGCTGCGACTCAATAGGTTAAGCTGGGTTAAGCGGCTGCGGCTCGGATAGGTTAAGCTTGGTTAAGCAAGAACGGCTCGGATAGGCTAAGTTGGGTTAAGCAGGCTGCAGCTCGGATAGGTTAAGCTGGGTTAAGCAGGCTGCGGCTCGGATAGGTTAAGCTGGGTTATGCAGGCTGTGGCTCGGAAAGGTTAAGTTGGAATAACCAGGCTGTGGCTCGGATAGGTTAAGCTGGGTTAGCAGTCTGCAGCTCGGATAGGTTAAGCTGGGTTATGCAGGCTGTGGCTCGGATAGGTTAAGCTGGAATAAGCAGGCTGCGGATCGGATAGGTTAAGCTGGGTTAAGCAGGCTGCGGCTCGGATAGGTTAAGCTGGGTTAAGTAGGCTGCGGCTCGGATAGGTTAAGCTGGGTTAAGCTGGCTGCGACTTGAATAGATTATGTTAGGTTAAGCAGGCTGCGGCTCGGATAGGTTAAGCTGGGTTAAGTAGGCTGCGGCTCGGATAGGTTAAGCTGGGTTAAGCTGGCTGCGGCTTGAATATGTTATGCTGGGTTAAGCAGGTTGGGGCTCGGATAGGTTATGAGACAAAGCTGTATAAAAAGAAAAATTTCTGGAATTTATTTTGTATTCGCCAGTTTTTATTTCAGGAGTATGTCCCATGAAATTGTGGAGAAGGAAGATGACAATCAATCTTTTGTTAATCTAACCTGATTTTAGGCAACAAGCTTTACCAGTAGTTTAATAAATCAACTTATGTTGTTCAATGGGTCTGTGTTCACTGAACTATTGCCCTGTTCTATGTTCATTACACTATTTAAAGTCATAACTTGAGGCTCACAGTCGTCTTCCTATTCCAGAGTTCTTAGTATCCCACTTTATTATCTTCAGATCGGTTCATAACAGATTTTCAAAAGTTTTTAGAGCTCAACTAATAAACGCTGATCATCTTTTCATTATAAACTAGCTAAAATATCCGGCGTTGCCCGTGAAATTTTGGAAAAATTCAAATTTTGAAAACGAAATCAAATAATTTTAGCCAACGTTTTATTATATAGAAATTACACACATCCAAAGAGAATAGAATATATTTTAGAGTAGAATTTAGACAGAATTTTTTCAGCCCCTTTCAGCCTGAAAGGGAGTACAAAGTGTACAAATCATGTAAATGTTCACAAATTATATGCAGTAGAGTACACTAATACAGTATGTTCCTTAGACTATCCATTTCAATTTCGAATTTTTTAAAGCTATTAAATAAACTTTATATAATGAATTAGGCGAATAAAAAACATCATTTGATTTATTGTTATAACGGAAAATCATCGTTTATAAAGTGAAAGGCATCGAGTCTATGTGAAATGATCATTGGACAATTATGAAACCAGCCTATTTCATAATTTGGGTTTCTTTTAATATTAATTTTAGATTTTCTATAAAATGATGTTCCAGGACCCAAAAGGTTATATAGCACAAATATGTGAAGTACACCTGCAGTATGGAAACAGTACAACAAAATGGCCGTTTTACACTTTTTTCTAGTAAATTCCTCTCTAATATATATTCTATTATCTTTGCACACATCTCTACCGTTTGCTGTCAACAGTATGAAGATTTGTTTCTCGTAGACTCTCAATACCTAGAACCTTAGCAGCATTCAAACATGCAGCTCGCCTAGAATACAGGGTGTTACAAGAAATACACCACATGAAGATCGTCTGTAATCTTTGAAATAATTTGTCAACCTATACCTTTCGTTGATAGATAGATAGATAGATAGATAGATAGATAGATAGATAGATAGATAGATAGATAGATAGATAGATAGATAGATAGATAGATAGATAGATA